TGTTTTCTGTAATGCCCTGGGTAGGTGACATAAAATGGACCTAGTTGACAGCAGGTATCGAGGAGGGGTTAGTAGCCGTGTACAAAGTTGTGATCAAAGGAGAGCCAGGGGTTGGGAAAGTGGAAAAGTAGGTCAGTGTGGCTCGGTGACAAAGGAACAAGCCACAATGCTTCTAAGAAAAGTAAAAAATCATTATTGACCAAAATCATACATGAGTATGTGGGGAAGAAAAATGGTTCACTCCTCAGGGTCCCTATGGGAGGTAATGGCTCCCTGAGGCCGTTGAGGACTGACCCAAAGCCAATATTTTATTCTCTCATCAAGGCTCTTACATCTTGAGAAGTGGACAAGAGAAGGCAAAGGAAAGGGGGAGAAAAAAATCATGTCAAAATGGTTGAGCCAAGGGCCGAGGGATCCGTCTCTTAAGACAACAACAGGCATGGGATTGGTGGGGGTCTGTTTCCTACAATTAAATGACTAATAACAACAATCACTTACAACACACAAAATTGACATGAACCTGGTAAGAAAACTCACATTTTTTAACCAGCTTTATTATCAAATTTTCTTTTGACTAGACAAAATCAATATAAGAACATTATATCCTTCATGTTTCATAAATTTTCTTTTTTCATTTTTCAATTGCAACAAAAATTCTCTTCATAATACTTTATTCTTGTAGCACTTCTTGATATGAAAGAATTTCTCAACACCAAAGATTACCTTGAACATACACATCACTGTAATGTAATCCATTGCATTAGTTTTCATAAAACTAAATAAAAATATATCATTTGTGTACTTAAACAAACAAGACATTAGTATTTATCTGCATACAAGTTCAAAGAAAATGTACATTCAAAAAAACAAATAACAAACTAACAAAAAAGTACTCATGGGAATTATAAATCAAAATCCATAAGGCTAAATATATCAGCACATTTTTGTCTCATAAAGGGATCTTTATCAATGAAGCAGTTATCCCATGTCAACATACGATGTCAGTCCATACTTAGTACAGAAGGCAAATTGCATTAGTAAAAGCACTTTCTCTCTGAGAGGGAGGAGAGGGAGGGGGAGGGAGGGAGGGAGGGAGGGAGGGAGGGAGGGAGAGGAGGGGAGGAGGGAGGAGAGAGAGAGAGGGAGAGAGAGAGAGGGAGAGGAGGAGGGGGGAGGGGGGGTGAGAGAGAGAGAGGAGAGAGAGAGAGAGAGAGAGAGAGAGGAGAGAGAGAGAAGAGGAGGGTGAGAGAGAGAGAGGGAAGGAGGGAGGAGGGAGAGGGAAGAGAGGGAGAAAGAGAAGAGAGAAGAGAGAGAGAGAGAGAGAGAGAGAGAGAGAGAGAGAGAGAGAGAGAGAGAGAGAGAGAGAGAGAGAGAGAGAGAGAGAGAGAGAGAGAGAGAGAGAGAGAGAGAGAGAGAAAAGACAAGGACAAAAGCAGAGAGAACGAGGTTTAAAGATATCACAATTTCATGAATTTAAACAAAACTTGTTCAAAACATGCACAAAACAAACAAGCAAACAAACATACAAAACAACAGGCTCTAAAAACATTCACTCATATCATACAAACATCTTATCAAATGTAATAAATCTATTAATGTATTAATGGCAGTGAGTGGTTTGAACGACGGAAAAAGATTCTTCCTGTTCATGCCTACAGTATGATTTTAACCTTTTTTTTTTCTTTTTTTTTTTAACTTTTTCTTTTGTGATGTGCACCTAAACTGGACACTAGAAAAATAACAAACTAAAGATTTCTTGTTTACAATATATTTGCGGGAGAAGGTCTGGAATATTAATATTATTGAAAAAAGAAAAATATTTGCAACGAGACTCTCAAGCAAATGCAAGATCCTTTTTCCATTTTCCTGTAACCATTTGAACATTTTTCTTGTCCTGAGAATAATATTTCCTTGCAGATATACATTTTTACATCTGCTTATGGCAAAGATTAAATGCCTTGAAGGCCAAGAAATGACAAAAATACACTGTTGGGGATCTATCTGCCTCAAACTAATCCTTCTGCTTTAAGTAACATTAGGATCACAGCTCTTTGGAAAGCTTGTCCGTAGGAGGGTTCAATCTCAAACCTGAAGAGAAATCAGATGATGAGGATGTGTACTCTAAACCTTTCATGTCATTTAACTCTTTTTTCCCCCAAGTTGCCTAAGTGAGAGAACAAACAACTGAATAACCAGTTGAACTGAGTGGCCAAATAACCACATGACTAAACGGTTAAGCAGAACCACGAAATGACTGAAACAACCCACTGAAAGGAGGGCTGTTTCCTGTTCAGGTTGTTTGGAATAAGCACGGAGAAACTATCAAACCTGGCATCTATGTGTAATTCCTTTGTATTGAAGTCTTGCTAAAATGTTAGGGCAATTAAGTCTACCTTTTAGAGAACTTTAGATATGCACTTAGATTTATATAGACGACCTGTGACCTGCCTTTTGTAATCTCTTTTAGAGACAACTGAAATCAAGAAACTGTTACTAGCATTGTGGAAAATTTGCCTTACTTGCAACCAAACAGGCACCATTCATTCCATCTATCCCATAAATGCAATGGAAATATCACCTGCACAATAAATAATACCCTGGCAGAAAGCAACTAGGAGAGGAGAGCAGAGGAGAAGGATGGGAAGAGGAATGGAGAAAAATTAGGGGAAGTAACTGTGGGCTTTAAAGAAATTTACATTTTGCAATTTCTGAGTTCTTCTCGCATTCTCTCTTTTCATTTGAGCTTCCCTTGAAGGTTAAGAAGAGCTGTAACTTAAAAAATTGGTTTTATAAAGCAAATTAATAAATTAATTTCAGTTCTGTTGCTTATCACCAAGTACGGAAATTTATAAAAAATACTCTTTGCGTCTTTTACAAGAACATGTTTTCTCTCCCTAAGTTCTCTCTGAACTCCTGTTTTTTAAACAAACTATTGCAGCAGTTGTGGGTGAGAAGGCAACTGATAATTTATTACACGTAGCAAGCCTAATGGGCAATTCCATAATTGGAAGAAAGACGGAAAATATGTCATGAAAAAAAGGCATTCATGAGAGAATTCAGCATTCCCTTTCTGTCCCTACTAAACCTTTTTGAGTTCCCACCACTACTCGCATTCTCATCAGGCATAGCTGGAAAAAGCTTGTGTTTGCACCCTAATGCTCAAGCACAGTAACATTTACAATAACATTTACATCTGCAACTTAACACACAGATATCATGAGCTTTGTCTCATCTTAAAAAAAAAAAGAAAAGAAAAAAAAAAAAAAAAAAAAAAATCCAATATACATATTTTTTCTTCTTGGTCTTCCATCTCTATTTCACTGAAAAAAGGGTAAATTGTTGTTAGAATATCTTCTATCTTAAAAGATACATATTTAAATCAAACATAACAAGATGGAGTAAGCTAATACATGTAATTTTCCCTTCATAAAAAAAATAATATAGTAAATACAGTTGATCGGAATATGACATTTTTCCTAAATACTCAAAAAAGGCTGATTCCTCTCAGAGATCAGCAATTCTGCACCATACTGCTTACAAACTATGATATCAACAAGAGAATATTTACAAAAACATTTGTTTTAAAGCTCTGTATTGTCCTATTACTCTGAGATAATGCGCCTGCCTCTCATTCAATAACATAAGACAAAAAGACAATGTTGCAGACACATTGTAGACATTAAAAAATCATAATTCCAAGATCTTTTGGAATGTATATTAGTCCTGAATAAAAATAGCAAACATAAAGAAGAAGAAAAACAATAAAGAGAGATAGGGGCGAGGCAAGCACACATCAAAAACAAAAATGTTTTTCCGAGATCTGAACGGTATGAAGAACCTCTTACAACAGGGTTACGACTTAATGAGATGAGAAATATAAAATGTTAGATGAAGTGGAGTGTTGGGAACACAGCTACAGGAATCAGCAACAGAATTTAGTCACTGTAATCAACTATACAAAACCAACCCTCTGTTGAAATCATCCATGGATTATTAATATCTGCTAAAATTAACATTAGAATATCAATTAGCCACCAAAATTCAACAAATGAAGTCAGCAATGGAAATCATCAACCGAAATCAATCATCCATGGACATCATTCATCCTGGGAGATCAGTCAGTGCTATAGAAGTCCCGGCTGACAAAGAACGGCAGTCATTCTCTTGAGGGCTGGCCAGGTGCTCGGGCGGACAGATTAGAGGCAGAGGCGATGGCAGAGGGGGAGGTAGAGGTCCCCGATGAGCTTCCAGGGTGGCTGGTGATCAGGGAGTGGTTGGTTGTGATGAGAAAGTTGGCACTGAGGAGGAGCGGGTACTTGACGTCTGGATCTAGCACCATTACACGGATCTGTTAATAGGGTAATGAGAGAGAGGGAGGGGATATGAGTGTGTTCCTGAAGCCTCATGTTGATTTGAAAAAAAAAGAAAGAAGAAGAAAAAAAAAAAAAAAACATACTCTTCCATGAACAAAAAGATCTTAACAGAAAAGTAAACATGCTCCTGTTTCTCAATTACCATAAAAATGAAAAACTCATAAAAGACATTATAACATTATCATTCTGTGATTACAAACACCTCAAAATTACAATACTCACCTCCTCATTTTTTGCAAGAGAGACTGACTGCACTCCTGTAGATTTTGTGTAAACTACTTGTTTCTGGTCATCCAGGGAGGCTACTGTCACTCTGAAAGGTTAAATACACACTTGTTATATAAAAATGTTTGTTTACTTTTTTTTCAAGATAAGACACACATGTATATGTGCACACACAAGCGCACACACACACACACACACACATACTACATACCTATACATGATATTCCTTCTCGCAGGTTGGGCAATACTGGCAATGTTCTCAGTTCGGTGATTCCTCTTAAGGCGCAGTGAGGCCCCGTCATGAGTCATGACCAGGTCCAATCCGAAGTTGTAGCCCGTCCATCGCCATATGTGTTGTCCTGAATTCCCCAGCACCCGGCCGCAACGTGTGCAAGACCGGTCAAACTCTTCCTCTGATATCTCACTTGGCCTGGTCATGGAGAGGGAGTGTGTGAGATGTAGGGAGGGAGGAGGGAGGAAGAGGGAGGAGAGGAGAGGGAGGGAGGGAGGGAGGGAGGGAGGGAGGAGAGGGAGAGGGAGAGGGAGAGAGGAGAAGGGAGGAGGGAGGGGGAGAGGGAGAGAGGAGAAGGAGGGAGGGAGGGAGGGAGAAGGAGAGAGGGAAGGGAGGGAGGGAGGGAGAGGAGAGAGAGGAGGGAGACAGAGAGGGGAGAGAGGAGAGAGAGGGGGGATATATAAATATAATATATATATATATATATATATATATATATATATATATATATATATATATATATATATATATATATATATACACACACACTATTTTTAGAAAATTTGCAGTGAAACTTGGTGGTATTACAGCTGATGTTCTACAAGATTTTTCTCAAAATAAAAATAAAATAAAAATAAAAATAAAGAAAAAAAAGAAATATATGATAAAGATCATGACAAAACTCACCCTCTGTCCTTGCCCTGGTCAATGCGCAACATATTGTACCACTGGTGCATGCTGGCAGGGGTCAGCCACGAGGGGGGTAGGATGCGGTCTGAATAGAGCATCTCCACATCCAGGTGGTGGTAGATCAGGTAGACGAGGCGCAGGGAAGAAAACACGGGAGAGAATTCACGCCCTTCCTCTTCCAGGAACCAGCCGCGCTCTGGGGTTTGTTGTCAGGGAGATGTGGTAAGAAGGTAAATAAAGATTCAGAGAAAGGGTAGGTGTAGAAAGACAGCTAACAGCATGTGAAGCAAGGAAAGAAAGAGAAAGAGAGAATGAAGAAGATTAAAACAAGACCAGGAGAGAAAGAAAGTAAATATGAATAATGGAAAAGGGAAGGGAAGGGAAAAGGTTGATCACATGTAGAAAGAATGGGGTCATTTGGGAAATGGAAAAGCCTAGTGCTTAATGGCAATAAGTGATGTGCTACTGGAGTAAGATGAATGCTCACAATGAGTAATGCTCCATCATATCATGGGTCCTTGTCACAAATACTAGAATTGTGTACATTACAACTCTCTTGACAATTACCTAGGTGACACCTAGGCTTTACCCCCCAAAAATTAACAACTGTTACTGACATAAGTATTATTTTGTCTAATATGAACAAGCTACTTCAGGAAGAAGAAGAAGAAGAAGAAGAAGAAGAAGAAGAAGAAGAAGAAGAAGAAAGAAGTAAGAAGAAGAAGAAAAAGAAAGGGAAAAAAGAACTATGAAAAAAGAAAGAAAGAAAAAGTGTCAACATAAAAGACCCAAAACCAAGAGAGAAAGAAGGAAGGAAGGAAAGAAGAGAGAAAAAAAATCCAAGTAATAACAAATATGAAATCTGGACACTAACTTACCTGCCCTGTTCCTAAAGTGCTTGTGGGCTTCGAGAAAAGCTGTCTCATGCGACCCATCCCAGCTGGGGTTCAGTCGCAAAAACACCCATGCCTGCAAACATGGAGCAAGAAAGGGTCAGCCTTCTACTTACGAAGGAGAGATGATGGTTGTGATGGCAGATGGGGAAAAAATTGTGAATGAAAGCAGCAGTGATGTGTGATAATAAAAGACATTCATGGCAAGTAATAGAACAATAGTGAATGATATGACTCTTCTACATTAGTGCATAAAAAGGCATTTCTAAATTACGAGGATATTTTTTGACGTTATGCATTTTATAAAAAATCTATAAGAACAAAAGGCAACAGAATAAAATCAAACCCTAGAAAAATTAACAACCCAGATACAACCAACACCGGTAGCAAAAGGATTACCTTGAGCATGACGTACACGCTGAATTCTGTCTGCATCACGTACAGGTGGGGGGAAGTGAGAAGTTCCGTCATGAGGTCTGAGGGGATGTGTCTCAGCGTGGCAGGGTGTTCAGTCACCTGTGGGGGGGGAAGAGGGAGAGGGGGAAGGGGCATGGTGAGCATGAGCATTACTAAGATGAACTGGGGAGGTTAATGGACGCAAACGAAGAGTGTGAATGAGAAAAAAGGAGTGGATAGGATAAATGCTTTGAGTAATGAGGTAACTGGAGGAATATTGATAGTCAAAATTAGGAGGGATAAGTGAATAATGAGAAAGAAAGATTATTCATATTAACAGGTGAAAAAAAGAAACAACATTGTAATAATTAGTGTGAATGGATGATTAATGGAGAAAGAGAGGGGTACACAGAGATAGAACAGGTAACGTCCACTGTAGTTTTGCTTTGTGAATTTCAGAAGTGGTCAGCTTCCAAGGAGTCAATTAGTAGGTCCATGAGACCTCACCTGATTTCCCCCTTCCTTGAGTTTTCCAGAAAATCATATATTTTCTAATGCTATTGTTAATATTTTTATTGATATTATGATTATTATGTTATTAACAACAACAACGGAAAAAAAACAAAAAAACTATAGGTAGGACTAGTAACTGACTCGCTGATGATTAAGCACTTGCGGAACCAAATAAGGGTAAATACAATTAATAAACTAAACTCACAGTGGACATGACATGAAAGTACATGACATCCCCAACAGCAGTAGGTTAACCCAATGTCGAAGGGAAAATAGTGCGTTTCCTTTGGCAATGCTTGGTTAAATGTTTCTGCACACAGATGGCTTGGCCAATGCTTAGCCACAAAAGAGTCAATTAGTAGATCTTGCGACCTCACAGGTGAGACAGGTAGTTCGTGTAATTGGCTCATTGGTGACTTAGTACTTGTGGAGCCATCTACATGTAAAAACAATTACTAAATTCAACACACATAACTGGCAATGGCATGTAGGTACATACCATGCCCGGCGGCTTGGGTTTAATGGAAGGAGAGAGGGAGAAACAATAATAATAGCATAGACAGATAATCATGAGAAATATGATGAACCAGATGCCAGCATACAAAGTAGAGTTCATGGAAAAGGTGTGACATTTATACTAAAAAGAATAACTGTGACATGAAATGTTAGAAAAAAAAGGAAAAAAAAATCAATTAATAAACAAGAATACAAAGATTAGTAATACATATTGAGACGAAAAAGAAAAAGAAATGAAAATAACAATGAGAATTTAGTAAAATGGATAAAGAAAAGGGCAAGCTCAAAAAGGGAAAGTTAAAAAGAAAGAGAAACCTATGCTTCTGATCCCCCCCCCCCTTTCTTTTGTATTTTCTGCCGAAGTGGTGGCATTTGGAAAGGGGAAGGGGAGGATTTACAAGCCTAAGGACCTTGCATGCCTTCATGTATGGTAACACTGAAATTTAAATAAAAAGCTGAAGTTCACTTTTACTACACTATGGAAATCAAAGAGAGAGAGAAATACATACAATTATAAAACCAATACAATATAATCAAAGTTAACAAATGTATCTAAATGAAAAGTAAAGAAAAGAAAAGAAAGAAAGAAGAAAGAAAAAAGAAATGCACATAAAAAAAAAGAAGAAAACAGAAATTCATACCTGTGTCAATAGGTTATGTAGAAGCCACTGCTTGCACGCCTTGTCCACTTCTAAAACCCCATACCTCCGTGCTGCTTCGTGGTACTGGAGGACAGTCTGAAATGAGGGTGTAAACTGGCTTTTTTCTTTTCATTTCCTTTTGTGTAAAGTCACAGACTGAAAGCAGATTGCAGGTGGTAATTAGAACTAATGGAAGAAGAAGAAAGAAAAAAAGAAAACATCTTGGCTCTATGGCTAGGATATAATCACATTTAAAATCTCAACTGAAATCATCCCTGAATTCACATAAAATTTGCAAATGCATTTCTAAACCCAGCATTAAAAAACATAACGACGAATCATGTACACGTGGAAAAAATTCATAATGATAAATACATAAATGCAGAATAATAATGATTTTTAAAAATCACTTGTACAGTACAAACACCCCACACTGTGCAGTCTTTCACAAAGTTTTAAGAACCTTTCCTCACCTGTAGATTAATAGTCTCCATCATGATTGAGGTGCACTGGTCGATCAGAGGGTCCATCTGTAGAAGCAGTGCTGTCGCTAACAAAGGAATCACTTGTGCTGGCTCCACCACGATGTCGTCCTTGTAAAACTGCCCCAAGGCAAGGTGTAGGGCTATGTGGGGAGAGAGTGGGGAAGAGGGGCAAGCTCTGTGGTTATTTTGCTTGTCTGTAAGCTGAACTATATGATTTCACTCATTTTTTAAGATCATTTCCTTTTCTGTCTCTCTCTCTAGGTCACACACACGTCTATTTATACAAGTCTACACATGGATAATTATACTGTAACTGAAGTGGCATTGAATAAACTGAATCTTAAATCTTTCTTACCATCAATATTTATATTATCATCCAGGATCTCAATGTTGATTTTGGACTGGTTTGTCTCAGTCCAGTTGCCTGAGAACATGCTCCCAAAATAAGGACTCTGGAAGATAAGCCACATGTAAAAGGTCTTTAAAGATCTGACTCTTTGCAAATAAAAAATTCATGTTAAAATACAGATTAATCCCCATTCTCTCCTATTTTTTCTTTTCTTTATCTTACTCTCTAATAATTTATTGACATTTACTATTGATGATATAAGCAAGTTACATCAGTATAAGTCTTTTATTTTCTCTGAAAAAGGAAATATATCAACTACGTCTTATGAGATTTCAGATTCAACTACTTTCCTCTTCAGAAGAAGGGAAACATACAAAGAAGTATGAGGAGGCATTTGTATTTTTGACAAACTCCCTCTGTCAAGCAGCTTTTGTGGATATAAATCTTTTAAACTATTTTCTTTTTTTTAACTTTTGACATGTGAAATATATTACCCTCTTTGACCCCCCCCCCCCATGCAAAATAAGAATAACTTCTCTCGAGTCCATCTTCTTTCCAGGCTAAAAGAGACAGTGAAGGTGTCATCTGGTGATAAAAAAGAACCAAAGAAAAAATCTCATACACTTTGCTTCCAAGTAACTGCTCCTTGCACTCTAAAAATTTAAGCTCCTTTTATAATAGAGCAGAGAGCATAATATACGCTCAGTGAGAACATATACATGCATAGAGATACTCGCATCCTCATTTAGACTCAAAGACACTCTACAAAAAATGCCCTTGCATAAAAGTATCCCAAAGACATGCCCACACACACAAACCAAATAACCATAAATCCACATGTACTCTCTTATACAAATCACCCTCATTCACTTATTCTCTCTCTCTCTCTATCTCTCTCTCTCTCTCTTTCTCACTCACACACACACACACACACACACACACACACACACACACACACACACACACACACACACACACACACACACACACACACACACACACACACATTTCGACATGCACAAGCATACCTGACATAAATAAACTTTGTGTAGATGCCATTCTCTCCCCAGGGCCACGACAGTCACATCTGATGCGCATCCCTCTTCAAACAGCGTCTTGTAGATGTACTGCGATGTTGAGTTTAATCTTCTTCTAATGGAGAAAGGAAGGACAAAGTTACTTATGAAATATCTTTCTGCTGACTGACTTCCCTGTTATTCATTTTCTGTTTCCTGTACACTGCCCATGAATTCCATTTTTATTTATTTCATAACCTTATGTCATAAATCAATAGCAGGACAATTGATATGCAGTCTTATAGGTTTATGTCTTTAATGATCAGATGATACAAAGCCTAGTTTAATCTGATAGTACAATTGATAATAACTAGAAACCACAGTCCTATTATTACGCCTACTCTACATTTAACCACTTGCCGATGGGATGGCTTGTGCGTTCATGCAATGCCTATTGTGTGTTTACTTTAGTAATTGTTTTTACATATAGATTGCTACACAGGTACTAGGTTGCTAATGAGCCAGTTACAAGAAGTACCTGTCTCACCTGTTAACCCTTATCCTTTATCTTTTATATTTTCTAGTATCTAATATTTCTGTTAGTAATGTCAGTAACAATGTAGTAATTATGATGTCTATAACAAAAATAACACTATCAATATTGATAGCACTAGTAAAAAAAACGTTTTCTCACTATTTTGAGGAAAGGTGAACTCACAAGGTCTACTAATTGACTTCTTAGTAGCTAAGCACTGGCAGAGCCATCTATGTGCAGAAATAATTAACAAAACAATACTGAAGCAAACGCATCATTTTCCTGTCGGCATTGGGAAATATATATATAACATTGGAACATTTTGTCTCACATGGAATATTATCACTATTATATAATACTGAAAACTAATACAGGCCTACAGATGTGCTCTTAACTAAGTAGCTTAAATCATTCAAACTAAAGTCAGTATAATAAAATTATATGTCCACATTCAGTACAATAAAGGATTCTCTCATTCTCAATAATAAATCAAAGATTTGTATAAACAAGTACCTTTTGGGAGTGTGGAGAAGAGAATCGAAATCTGTTGCATCTTCATCCTCACTTTCCAAGTCCTCAACCTTCCGCTTGCTCCCTCCTGAGCCCATGACATGGGAACCCATTAGATGACTAATAAGGTTCCCCATTTCTCTGTAAAACACAATGCCAGTTCTTACTAGGAATCAAACCTGAAGTCCTTATTAATATTAGTAATAAGGAGTAACCAGATGTTTTGATAACATCATAGCAACAGGTCCAGTGAAAAGATAAAAGATTTGGTAAGAGACAGAAAGCTATCCGCAAACAGTCACAACAGTACCATGTACTACATATGCTGCTGCAAGTGCAACAAAGCTTATTAGATTAAACTAAACTTTAGTTTCATTAAGAAGAGTTGACATCTGTCACTACTAATATCTAATGCCATGGTGATTGACATACATGAAGCTTTGCATCTACCAGACCAAAATCTAGCAAAAATGATCCATGAAGGATCTGATAAACAGGAAATAACTGAAGCTGCATACCCTACAACGCAACAGAAAGGAATATGAACATAAAGTCCAGCAGCTGTAAAGTATCCAGCATAGTGGCAATAACTTTTATGAGTAATGAGCAACAGGTCACACTTGTTGGGTGAATCTTCAACTCATATCTGGTGCATACATGTATATCCAGTGAAGATACAATTAAAACCTGTCAAATGTATCTCATGTGTTGTAAAGTAGATCATTTCAATTCATACCTTTTCTGCATTTATCATAATGAACAATGTTCAAATGTACTTACAAATACTAAAATAGCCAAATGGAAAAAGGAAATGCATAATATAAATACTGCTTCTATTGAGAACATAAAGCAAGAAATAAATGCTGTATTAATCTAATACATAAATCCACAAAATAAACTTAAAGTTGAATGAAGGCATAAAATGGGGTGATTTGTTCACCAAATAGCCATCAAAGTTCTTGTTATTTTGCTCCATACATATAAGAAATTTCATCCAAGGCAGGAAGTCAAATCTTTTCAAAGTGCAAAATGTTTTAAAAGTGACTAAAAGTATGGCAGAAAAGCCCCTGCCTGGTGTTCTGTGTATGTGTGGTGAAACAAACAAGGTGGTGATGTGTATTGACAAAAGAAGATGATACCACTCTCAATTAGGTTAAGTTAGGTTCTAGCTTATTACCCAGAAATAACGTCTATATGTGTACATTTCTATGTGTGCTGTATGCCTAACCACGAGATATCGGGTACTGCAGTAGGCGTAACACAGGCCAATGTTTTTATAGTCCTTGATTATATGTCAAAAGAAAAGAAACGAAAAGAAAAAAGAAAGAAAGAAAAAAAGTCTTTTGAAGATTTAACAAAGCTTACTTCAGACTACTTGAGGGCAACTTTTGTCTATCAGCCATTGTATGGGGATGATGCTACCTTGTTATAAGGCGGTGATTGAGGGTAGTTCTGTGTAGGTTCATATGTTTGCTTAATTACTTTAAATGATCTAATATCACCTTATATAACAACAAAATTTGATAGCTAAACACTAGCAAGAACTTATACTTCCTTAAAAATATGACTGGCAGAGATATATGATGTTAATGAAGGTAAACATCGAATTAGATAAAGTGGACAGTAGAAGTTTTCAGTTTGAAAATGGCAATATACATACAAGCTTAAATGTAGATCTGACAGCTCTAAAAATTAGATCTCTGCATGGAAATGATTATTCAAGTTAGTTTTGCTCAAAATAATGCATGAGAACTTTAATATCCAGACAACTGATAATCTATATTCTCCAAACAGCAACCCTTTACGGTTGTATTTCAAACAAAAAGATTGTTTGACTTGCCCTGTCCAATAAAATACATGACTAGTCAAAAAATGTAAATATATACTACTGTTTATTTTACTAATCAAAATTTGGTATTATTGGAAAATAGCATTAACAATGAATCAATCAAAACTAACCTTACAGCCTTGAAGATATTTCATTAATGATTACTTTTCATTAAATAAACTTCTCTTGCAATTAAATATTAATGAAACTATTTAATCATCAAAATAGTTAAAAATAGTATTAAATAGAGGTGAAATCTACATGAATGCTGAGGGAATATTGACCAAATTCTCCAATGCACAAGCGCGGGTCTCTCATATCCGTACTGTTCCTGTTATCTTACTTGTGACATCATAGCCAGGGCCCACGATTTCATTAGCCAATTGTTTGGCTGTTAATTTAATCGCCAATGGGGAAAAAAGGCATAAAGAAACAGCCAATGAATGAACATTAGCTAAAATAGAAGCCATAAAATTCAATTTTAAAATTAGTTTTGCCATGGCTGCGGTGTGTGCAGGGTAATGTATCAAACCATACAAAGTTATAAAAGATTATTTCGAAGATGATGAGGCTAGCTTGAAACAATTATATGAACACAGAGTGCTACCCTCTGAAGTGATTTGCAAATTACACAATTTGCCTTGCACTCTGCAGCTGTTGGCAGAAATTCCCCAAAACTAAGCAGCAGAAGCAGTGCTCTTTCTCTGTCAGTGATTTCAAAGGGACAATTCTCCAATGAGCTCATGTCCCTCCATCTGAGATTATGTGCTTCATAAATCACTGGCCACTTTTGAAAATCTCGGGTGGGCAGAGCAAACCAGCCTTGACTGGAAGAGTTTCTGCCCCAAAGTAATGGTTAACTAGCTCTCCAATCAAGACCTGATAGGAGGAGAGGACATTGTGGTCAAGATTGAAGAGTCTTGCTTTGGAAAGTGGAAGTATGGGTATGGACAGGAGCAAAGCAAGAAGTGTTTCCTTATTCCCCTGATGCCTCCCCTGTTCACAAACAAAAATAAGAAATATATTCTTCTGGGAACCACAATCTATAGTGACGGTTGGTGAGCCTACCTAAGGCTTGACAAGGAGGGTTACACCCACCAACTGATTAACCACTTCAAAGATTTCACAGATCTAGATCATGATATCCACATTCAGAACATACAGAGGCTTTGGAGAGATGTCAATGAGTGGGTTAAACGTCCAGGTAATATACCTGAATACTATCACCAATACCTCTCCTACTATCTGTTTATTCACAAGTTTATCACTACAGATTTCACAATTTACCTATGGAGACTACCCGCTTAAACCCTCCTCAGTCTGAATGACCCCCTCTTCTGAAAGAGGCCATCGCTCTTGGTCATGCAGGCCTCTATGACGCTCCCACAAGCCACTACACTGATATCGATGACCCTCAACCCCACCCCTCCTATGCATAGGTATATTATAAGGCTTATTTTCATGGAAGTGACTATATATACACACTGTACTTCATGTGTGTACGAACGACACATGCCGAGTCTGTTCATAGAGGGTTCTTTGTTTTCCTGGGTGGGGGTGCCTCCTGCAGTGTGTAATTCTCAAGTCTACGACTGACATGGGAGCACCTGATGCCAAGTCTGGCCAACACTTTCTCCTTCCGTGAATACCTGAAGGATTCTTTGATTTTCCTAGGCGAGGGTTGTGGGACTGAAGCCCCCCAGGAGGGGGGTCATAGGAGGCACAGCCCTCTGCTTAATATAATATAGTGACTTAATAGGCCCTGTGAATCACAGGACCTATCGAGAATTCCACACTG